CGGGCAGGGGGAGGGGAGGAGGATAAGAGGGAAAGGAACCGAGATAGTACGAGGAGAAAAGGAGTTTCGAGAAACAAACTGAGACGAAACTCTCTCCCTGCGTGCACCGGGCACCGCCCTTGCACTCCACCCATCCATCTCCGGCGTGCATATATTTTTGGGCGGCTAGTTTTTCCCCCGAGGGAGATTTATCATGTCCCTACGCCTCTTCTCTCGCGGGCTGCTCCATCAGTGCCCGACGTGTGGCAGGGAATAATTGGCAGAGCGGAGGAGTGACCGCTTCAGAAACTACTCTTCGAAGATGACTCGTGGGAGCAGACACAATCTTACGGAGAAAACGATTATTTCCGCAATTATATATATTTGCATGGTATAACGAATCTATAATCTTTCTGAATGAAGCTATAAACGCCCGTCGATCTGTCAATTTAGATTTTTATGCAAATGTTATTATGCGTATTGTAAGAAATAGTAAATAAAATAAAGAAAAAATTAGATTTCTTTTAATACGGATAAAAGTTCCTCCGTCTATTTATTAAATAACAAAAAATTAATCGAAACTTAGGGGCCTATTCTGTAACTTTTAAAGATGTCATTATATACGTGTCATTGCGCAACTAAAACGTATCGGAAAATAGCTGCGCAACGATACCTAACGACATCGTTAAAAGTTACAGAATAGGCCCCTTAGAAAAGATACGAGCGAATATACAGGTGAATATAGCTAGACATTTTATATCGTTGATCTTTTTTTCTGAAATATTATACATTCAACTTCGAAAATATGAAGAAGGGCAGGGGAACTTGTTAGCACGGCACTGTGTAGCTGACTGTAAACACCAAGCACAAAGGTCATTACGAAATCGGTCGAACGATCAGTCGTTTGAAATTCTTCGTTGGTGTGTGTCATCTAGAACTGTCGTCCAGAATGAGTGTGCTACGTTTCGCTGAAGATTTCTCGCAATTAGTTATGCGTTACATGAAACATTTACCATTAATCGTATGTAAAAAGTATTTGGCTTGATTAAAAAAATATACTATTATAAAATATATTATATTATTTTAAACGAAAATAAAATGTAGTCGCGGAGAGATAAAAATATTAATATATGTAAAGCTGTAAAATTAGTTTTATATATGTGTACATATGTAACGAGAAAAGTATAAGTATAACGCATACATTTGGCAAAATTTTAGAATATTATCTATTATCGTTATATATGCATGTTCCAGAACAATAAACCACAAAATGTTATCGTGCCCTTGACCAATGAACAAATAACGTTTACCGTACATCACGTGCTTCGCGCACTTGGGGTAAAGGACAGTGAGAATGACAATGACAATGACGATGACTCTATGACAAATTTTATGACATCAAATAAGGAAATCGATACTTCACCAATTCCCATCACTTCGAAGATCAATGGCATTGAAAACAATGAGAATGCGTAGGTTGTTTTGAAACTTGGCGTAAAAAAGATATTATTTTATATTGTTTTATAATTATATATTTCGTATATTAATAATATATTTATTTAGATCCGAGCCGGGTCAAGATGGATCTCAATTTGCCGTAACGGATTCTGGCTTTTCTCTTTCTGACATGTCATTAAAAACTATTAAAAAAGAAGCGGAGAATACTTTGAATATATTGCAGAGCGAAAAGAAGGTAACATGCAATTTTGAATTATTATATTATTTCTTCAATTTTTCTTCATCGTTCATTATTATTTGAAAAATAATTATAATATATAGTCCTGATATTGACTGATCATTTAATTACTTAGTTTGCTATTGCTATAGCTTTACTTGTCATTTATTCGTAGTTTATTTCACGATCAAATCCCATGATCTGCGCTATTGGTAGATCTGACACTTTTTGCAAAGAAGATCAAAAAATAAATAATGATATACAGGAAGACGTTTTCGAGAATTCATTATCTAGTTCATTAAGTGACAATTTTATGCAATCATTGGAAGAAATACGAGAGTCTGCTGTAACCATTACACTAAAGATTGATGACTTAAAAAAGGTAACTTTTAATATATATGCATATGTGTATGTGTGTACGTGAAAATAATATCTTATAACATACACGCATGTGTATATGTGTGTATCACATGTGTATACGTGTATATATATATATGTAATCAGGAAATATTATTTGTATATAATTAAATCATTTTATATAGCAAACATCTCAACAATTGACCAAACAACCACTTTCAAACGGTCTTCTTAATTTTAATCGTACATCAACAATAATCAAGAAAGGACCCACCAAAATTCGCAGATCGCTGACAACTTTCTCTGGACCATCAGTATCTTCTAAATTGCATGTAGTGGAAAAAGAGGATACTTTAGTGGACAGACGTAAAAGTACTGGTGGAATGGCGTACAATATAACTCCCAAAAAATTAGGATCTACAAAAATGGATTATTCGATTTCAAAGTTAAATGGATTTTGTAACAAGGTATCACCAGGTTCGATCCCGAAACTAACGAAAAATCCGAAATACGCCCATGTGAAAAGTACTATACCAAAGCCAATCTCTATAACTAAGAAAAAGCCGTAATAATTATAGTAAAATTGCCAGAATAATGTATAAAATTTTGATAATTACTCTTGCTAGTTAGATTTATCACAGACTTGAAAATATTTTATTTTATACTTAAAAAAAAACATATTGCTCGATTAATATAGTTAATATTTTTGTTACATATAATTAATGTTTTTATAAATTACACGAATTTATCACATTTAAATTTCGCATAAATATATAGTACTAGTTTGTAAACAAAGTCGTTAAGCATAGATACGGTGACTCATACGTGATATATCAGATGTGACTATACGCTCGGAAATATTATCTCGTTTTCTGCCGCTTATCGAAAAAATATCTTATATATTCTAAACGTTTAAACGCAACGATCATACGGAAATCAACGCAATAAAGATTGTTAACCTGATTTTTAATCCTGTTGAATCTTGAGGAGAAATTCCTCTTGCGGATTCTTGAGAAATAATTTTTCAACGCGCTAATTTCTATCTTATACAAAAATGCGATCTTTTTACATTTGTTTAAGAAGGAATATTATCTATAAGTGAAAAACGTTTATTTTTAAATATTTTTAAGTGTTACCTTTGATCGTCCCGACAAAGTCACATTGGAGAGAATTAATTAAAGTTTTTAATTAAAATATAAAATTAATTTAATTCAATATTCCATTTTCCTTCATCTCAAAAGAGTTGATAAGTTCTCCTTTGTACGTTGGTGAGACAGAGCTGGTAAAATAACTATTAGTATCCCGGTCTTTAATTATAAAAATCGTGTAGGCGGTGCTTTGGCACCGTGAGCCTTCATCAATCACCCGTCAATCCACGTTTATGAGAACGATTCTTCTAGATTACACGATCCTTGCCCTTGAAAGGCAGACCTTCGTTACTAGGAAGCAGGTAATCTTGAAGCTCGTAATTAGTGCCCGTCGGGGTGAAGACTATATCTCGTAGCTTTCATGGCACTCGCTCGCTATGTTAACGTAGAATTCGCGTAATCTTATACATTATTTTATTTTAATGAATCTATTTCCGTCAGAAATCCATTCCTCCATCACCCGTCTCCCATCAGCGCATCCGCGCACACAGTAGCAACGTGTAAACTGCATCTGTCCTTAAGTGCACTCTTGGCAGAACACTCTTCGGCTTAAAAAGTGTTTTACTTGTTGACGTGTCAGCCGGGCCATTCGCCGGCTGACTCCGCGAGACAGTCCCATCAGTGACAGCGATTAGCTCCGCGATTCATCTTAATGACTGCCCGATCGTCGCTCTGCTCTTCTTCCATTCGTTTCTCTTTTCGATCTTATTAAGCAGGCGCGAAAATGTGAAGTGAATTGGGACAGGGAGGACATCGTTTGCCTCTCTTTGCCTCGTCCTTCGTCACGATATAATCGTAAGTCGCACAGTCGTGTATTTTATTTGTCGCTTTTATAATGTTGTTTCTCGAAACTTTATCGCGGTACATTAATACAGAGAAATAATCCGCAGGCAAAAATTATATTTACAAGCGCTTGTTAATTCTTTTATATGATAAAAAAAAACAGATAATGAGCTTGTATTGATAGATAAATTAATTTGATAGATAAACGACGATATAATTACATTTTAATGATTAGTTTACACATACATTTGAAGTGTTAAAAATATAATCCTAATAGATATAATCCTAGATATAATCTTAAGCTATAAAAAGCGAATTTGACAGAAAAACATGTAGAAAAAATGATAAATGTGAATCGATCAATAATACATACGTCGCCGGTACCATCTTTATTATTGTGATTCAAAGGCTGATATGGCCACGACCGTTGGCACAGCTGCCACTTTGCTGAGAAACGAATTTGTAGTCGGAGCGCTTCAACCTTTTTGTCTCATCGAATCTCTTCCTGTGGCTCTCCCGCTTGCTCTTTCGTTCTGCTGTAGACCAAACGAGCCCATTTTTGGTCCGCGGACGCGCACACACGTGTCCGTGCGCGGAGGACGTTTCTGCGGACAAACCGATTTGGGGCGCAAAAACGGATCGCATCTTTTAAAAACATACTTGAGGGCCGAAGAAGCATCCGCAATTTCCGCCTGATGGTGCACAGGTGCACGCGTGTGCGTGCATTCTTTTGTCGGTGCATCGTGTTAATAACGACCCTCTTTCCGCACTGCGCGGTCACGCAATGACAAATCCTATAAATCATAAAATAAACCACGCGTTTAGCGTCGCGTCGTTGCGTAAAACGTGGCCGAAAAATTTTTTTCTCCTCTAAAGACACTAAATTATTCTTTTTCCACGATATTTTTCATAGCTACTTAAATTGCATCGAGAGTGATGACGAAAAAATAGATGAAAATTATTATACTCTAACAAAATATCGCATAATATACAAAAGTACATTTAAAAATTGTGTGACAGAAAAATTACTCATCAATAATTTTGATAAATTTTTAATATCTCTCTAAAGTTACCGCCTCTTGTTCGGCAAACGGTTATTTTCTTCAGGTGCCCTTCCAATCGCGGATCCACCGCCGTCCCTTAAATGAAGCCGTCATATCGTCGCGGATGAATTGCGCCTCTGCTGCAACAAACCGCGCGCAATGAGGGCGGCAGAGAACACGAGCGCGTAATCGCGGCGCATGCAAAGTCACGCGACCGGTCGGCTGCGGCGCGAGAGATCGCGCGGGTCTGCAATTTCGCGCGCGCTCTCGAAAGCCGGCTACCCCGACACCTGTTGTCGAAGTATATACGCACGATGACTGCGTATGCTAAGTTCCGGACGTGGCAAAAAGTCGGCCAGTCGGCTCGTTGCGGGCCGGGGGCCCTAAGGGCGATCGGAAGCGGTACGGGGCGAGCGAAAGGGGGACAGACTATAGGCGTTCTCCCGATGCCTCTCCCTCGTCTCCCTCTTGCCGATTCTGCGTGTTCGCAAAAGCATCGGCTCGAAAGGGGGGGGAATGCAGGGGGAGGATGATTACGCGTGTCTTTTTAACACAAAAGGCTCGAAAACCAACACCGAAGTACGAAGGAGCGTGCGGCGCGCCCTGTAATCGACGTTCCAGACCCGGGCTCTCCCTCTCTTCGTGATGAGACAACCATTTTCAAAATTGCGATAGTCGCCTGCAAATAAGGCGAGAGAGAAAGAGAGAGAGAGAGAGAGAGAGAAAGACGGGTTCCTCAGCCGGACGTTGTAGGTAACCGAGGGCCTCTCGTGGCCGAGTTATTATTTGTTTTTGCCCCGGGGGACCATCACGGTACTTATCGAGTCACCGTTTGCTTCAGCTGCAATGTAACGTTACGCCTCAGTCTCGAAAAAAACAAGACAAATCGACCGTCCTTACTCTGTCCTCACATTGACATTGGCGCGTTCGCGTGGGAGTCGCGATTTATTTCGTATATGCGAAAGAATATATACATACGATATTCCACTTCTTGAATTCCAAAAAGGAGAAAAAGCTTCGATCGATATGTTGCTATTAAAACAATTTCTGAACATTTTTTACACGAGGATTAGAAGGGGAACAAATAAATGCATATATATTTTATAAAATGATTTTAGTTTATATATATAACAATTGTGTTCCACATGTGTTCTACAACATTTCTACTAGTCTACAAACACGTTTGAAGGTTTATTACATTGTCAAGAATTATGCTCGTTATTCGAAATTTCCGACAATCATGCAAGATTATTCTTTCATCGTTTACTTTATCAGGTAACTTAGAACTTTGCGAATCTCAGGTTGTTCCAACCGCTGGTTATGATACATCGCTCAAACTATACTAGAGAGGCACGCAAAAAAAAAGAAAGAATAACCAAGGCGCGAATCGGGCAAATTGGCGAGGAACCATTCAAGATTTGGATTCGGCTGCAATTTCAGCTCCGGGGCACCGACGGCTCACGGGCGATAATTGATATCACCTGCCATGTAAATATCGGGTATCGTCGCTTGCCGAACCTGTCGGCGGAAAAAGGTCCAGGGCAAGAAGAATCGCCGAGCGCAACCGCCGGTGAGATAATTACGTGTTGGTTTTAGAAAAGGGGGAAGCACCGGTTAATTCCACGCTTCGTGGCCCGCGCAAAAAACCGCCTGCGGCTACGAGTTCTTCTGTTAAAATTAGGCGACGCGCGCATTGCGTGAGAATCTTGGCTTGAATGTGAAGCAGATCAAGATCTAGGATCCAAAGGAATCGATCCAAGCTTCTAAACGTCAGCTGAAAATTTCAATTTTCATTCTTAATACATATTTTAACGTATATATATAATTATACATTATATTTTTTTACAAAACTTAACACGATCTTTCTGAATTATTGACATAAAAAATTACTATCACATTTAAATATAATGGGACATATTATTTTTTTTTATCGCAATCTTTTATATATCATCTCATCATCAGAGATCATCTCCGATCTTGTAGAATCATACAGTACGGTCAAGAATCGTAAAGCTAGTCGATGATTTATGCAAGGCCGATAAAGAAAATCTCGCGTTGCGAACGCCTACCGCTTAGTATCCGGTGTTCATATGTTGCGCGTAACACCTTGCCGTGAGCCGCTTAACACCTCGGATGCTATACGGTTTAAGACAGTTTGCGTATCTCGATCTCGTTTTCAACACCTTCCTTATCGACGATTTCTTTTATGCTCTCGTAATGACACGCTTCTCGCAGGATGCCCCTGCGGCAGAGAATGCTGTTGAAAAAGAGATAGAAAGGAATCGCGGCGTTTGTTTAGCAACACGATAGTTTTAGCAGGGAGCAGAAGGCAGGAGAGAATGGTATCAGATTCTTTTTAATGATGAAAAGAAATTTTTTAATAATTTTTTTATTGATTCCTTTTAATGGTTTATAGAACCAAGAAAAAGAATGTATTATTCTTAACGATTTTTAAATGTTATTGCATCTGTCTGTATCTAACATAGTTTAGTTACTTTATTTTAAAGTTGGCTTATAAATTATTTTAGAGTATTGCATATATCGTATAACATTCTATATTTTTGTATGCACTAACATTTTGCAAGTTTACTATTTATGACGATCTAAATAATTAATTCCTATGCGTTTTCGGACACTTTCCATGCAAAATATTCCCCTCCTCTGGTCTTTTTATGTGTCTCTTCATAAGATATAAATTATCTGATAAATATTTAAGCATCATCGCGTCCTTCTCTCTTTTTATCTCTTTCTTCTTCTATTGCTCGTTAGTCACCGAGTATATTAACGATCTCTGTAAAGCATAGTCCTCTCCGTTATCTCTTGAAACTCATAGCACCTTAAAACTGTTCGTCGCAAAGCGTCAGAAAAGTATCAAAAACTGTTTACTTTCCATTCATTTTTCTTTCGTGACTACGTGCTTCCGTATATAAAAGTGCGGTCGTCAAAGTGCGGTTGTCAAAGGAATTGACAAGGCATGCCCATAAAAAAT